GGGCAAGCTTCCATCATGGTGATGCCAAACGACACACGTGGCACAGGCTGTCGCATTTTGCCTTGCGGTCGTGCTCGCAGACAATCACTTCGGGTGCCATCCAGTGCAGGCTGCCAACAAACGTGTTGCGCTTGGCGCCGTCCTGCTTGTTGAAGGCGGATACGCCAAAGCCCGCAAGCTTCGCCATCCCGTCCTGCGTTCAATTTCAACATGGTGCAGTGGGTGCAATGGGCAGTTGATGTGAGAAGAGAGGGATGATGAGGTCGTAAGGCAAGCACAGACAGCGTGGACGCATGCGGTTGGCACAGCGAACTCAGGCTCCTTACACCGACAGACGGACGCATGCGCAAGGACCATGCACCACAGACGCAATGATACGCACACAAGTGACGAGGGTGTTGCTGGCGTTGATATCGCGATGGATGACGCCGCAGCCATGCAAGAAAAGCGGATGCCCTTGACCATCTGGTGCGCAATGCACTCCATGGCATCCTCAGGCAGGCCCGTCCTGTGGTTGACAGCGACAGCATTGAAGAAAATAGGATGGCAAGACGTAAGCGGTTGAAAGGCAAGGCAGTGGAATGTAATGAGTGGTAACGAAGCACCTGAAGTGTGTCGACACATTGGACAAGAAAGAAGAAGAAGAGTGAATTGCACACGCCCACGCTCAATCATCAAGCGAACACAACAGGAAACCAGCTGTCTCACACGTACGGTTGCTTCTCGACGTATTCGGCAAGGGATCCGGCATCGCACACTTCCAGCAAGATCCACAGCTCGTTGTTGTTGTAGTACGCATCCATAAAGTTTGTAATGTTCCGATGTCTGCGTGTCAGGCGAACAAGTACAACGTGAGTGTCAGCTTGGCAGTGCATCAACAAAGAACGGTCAATCGTGGAGGCACACGATGTTATCATGCTGCTCGTGCGTGAGTGGGCCTTGGTCGCTGGGCGTTGGCCACTCACTTGCAGGACGTTAGGATTTCAATCTCCGTGGCAAAGTTCTGTAGCTCTTCCTGGGCTTGAATAGGGGCGACCTTGGCGGCTGCAAGCTCGCCCGTGGCGCGGTTTCGTACCTACATCCGCGGGAAAGGGGAGAAAGGGGAGAAGGAAAAAAATGACATGAGGAGCATGTGTGTGTGTGTGTATGTGTGTGTTTGTGTGTGTGTGTGTGTGTGTGTGCGTGTGTGTGTGTGCATGTGTGTGTGTGTGTGTGTGTGTGTGTGTGTGTGTGTGTGTGTGTGTGTGCCAAGCTCGCTTCGACGTTGCCATAACAATGAGCACGAACGCAAGAACGAAACAAAGTTGGCGCCAACACACGCATGCACACACACATTCACGGACGAACACATACACCCACTATCAAACCTTGTGCACTTTTCCATATGATCCTGAGCCCAGGGTCTCCTGCAGCATCCATGTGTTGATGGGGCTCTCCTTCTTGACGTGGCGAAGCTTTCCACCCCCAGCACCCATCCTGGTGTTGGCGTGACAGGCAGAAGAAAGAACGGTGTGCGTGTATCCGTCGTGAGTGAGCTGTTGTGGAATATCATGTGAAGATATTGCAGATAATCAGCACTGAGGCGATGCTCCGTCTCACTGATCTCAATCCAGCCAGCACCAAACACACCTGCTCACTCAAGCCCTCAAGCCTGCTTTCTTCCCTTCTGCCTTCCTCAGTCATGCAATGGCCAATGACTGCGGCTGTGGCCATGCTGCTGGCGTTGGTGGTTGCCACCACGGTGGCCAGCACACAAGCACGCTCACCCAGCGCAAACGCACAAAACGATCAGGTGTGCTGTGGTGGTGGCGCATTTTGTTTTTCTTGTTTGTTGTTGTCCTGCTGTCCTTGTGTACTTGTTCGTTTCGTGTTGTAGTGTAGTAGTGTGTATTGATTCATGCAGAATGCATGACCTCGGTCCCATCTTGCCCCTCTCCTGCATACCAACGCGCACGCTGTGGCATCTGCTCACATGCTTGCTTGCAAGCACCTTCACCCCAATGCCGTTCTGATAGCTGTGCTCTGACGTGCACGGGACACTGGACAGCATGGTGCGTGTGCTGGAAGTGCACGACGTGCCGTTCTTCCCCAAGCACGGTGCCAACAACAAGGGGAACAGCAGTCGCAATGACACAACACCTGCAACTGGAAACACAATGACACGCGAAGACATGCTGCCCTCCTTCCTTGTGGACCTATCCCCGATTCACCGCATGATGGCCGCATTTGGGTGTGGCGATCGAAATGGGGACGGTAGCAGGGAACTGGAGCTGCTTGAGAATGGAGAACACAGGACACCTCCCGCTCCATCAGGTACAAGGTCCACCAGCACGTACGTGGAGGAGAGGGTGAATGCCATCCGCCGCAACGAGACCATGCTGCCCTTGCAACAACAGTCACAGTCGCAACACAGTCGTGTGCGACGGAATGATGACCCTGAAGTGCAGGCAGGGCAGTGCACGCTGGCGAGCGTGGTGGATGGCACGTGCCCTGGCGTCGACAACCGTGGAAGGCTCACCATCACCTTGCGCGAGGGTGACTACGTGGACGACAGCACGGATGCAAGTGGGCTACGAGCCATTTCCAGCATCGTTGTCGACTTGACTGTGAATGGGCACGTCGAACAAGCACCACTGCGGTGGATTGTGAAAAATGGCAATTGGACGGTGTGCTATACTGTTGTCTTGGATGGTGTGCAATACCCCATATTTCAGTTGAGCGAGCTCAACCCAATGGCACGCGTGAACACGACTCGGATCCGCGACAGCGTGCTGCTTCGGGAAGTGAGCACGAGCGGGTTTGCTCTCACACATGAGCTCGTCAACTTTGGTTTGAGCAACAATGCCCTCACATCCGTTCCAGACGTTTCTGGCATGACGTCGCTGAGGATCCTCAACTTGTACAACAACCGCATCCGTCGCATCGCAAAGGACGTTTTCAAGGGCTTACCAGTCCTGCAGCAGCTGCTCCTGGGCGAGAACCGCATTTCTGAGATCGAGTCACGGGCGTTTGACGACCTCACTCAGTTGCAGGTACTCACCCTGTTTGCCAACGACCTCAGCGCCATCCCCTCCAGCTTGTTCCATCGTCTCACGAGCCTCACCACGTTGCAGCTACAGCAGAACCCTATCACGCAACTTGATGCCGACGTATTCGCTGGGCTGACAATGCTGGATCACCTCAGCCTGGTGGACACGCTCCTCACCAGCTTACCAGCAACACTTTTACGAAACACCACCCGACTCACTCGCCTGGAATTGGCGCGTACCTTCATCACAACTCTTGATGAGACAGTCTTCTCCGGCCTGTTGTGGCTGGACGTGCTGGACCTCTTCAACAACCGACTGACATCGCTGCCACCGCGCGTGTTCAAGGACTTGACGGCGTTGACGTGGCTTGACTTGTTTTCAAATGACATCACTTCCTTACCTGGCACGCTGCTGGAGAATTGCGCTCTTCTCCACGCGTTCTTCTGCAACAACAACCAATTGACCGTCCTTCCAGCCAACCTGTTCGCCAACAACCCAGCGCTGCTTCAGGTTAACTTGGCCAACAACGCCCTTCGTTCCATCGACACCGCCCTCGAATCGGCACAGCTGTCTTCTTTGCAGTTCCTCGACTTGGAGAACAATCAACTCACCAAGATGCGTCTGTTTCGAGAATTGCCCCGTCTTCATTATGTTGATTTGAGCGACAACCCCATGAAGGAGCTGCCAGATGTCACACTCACGCCTGCCCTGGACACTCTCCGGCTTCATAATCACGAAATCAAGCACATGAATTTAGCGCCGCTCCTCCGTCTGTCCAGCCTCACCATACTTGAGCTTGATGCTTCCCCGCAAGCACACTCCAGAGCAGTGTTGACGGACACCAACGTCGCCGACATTGCGCCGCTGTCAACCCTCAGCCTTGAGAACGTCGATATCAGCACCGCTGTCCCATCACTTGCTCACCTTCCGTCGCTCAGCCTACGCACGCTTCACTTGGGCTGGTCGGGCGCCAGCAGCGATGAGCTTCCAATCAGCACCATGTGCGAGTTGTTTGCAAGCAACCTGCATGAGCTCCGCATTGCCAACACGGACTACCGAGTCATCGAACTGTGCCCCGACAAGACGTTCGACTCGCTCCTTCTCAACGACAACCAGCACCTGCAATCTGTCACCGTCCACAACCCGCTTCGTGAACTCAACGTGTCTGGCTGCACCCAGCTCACATCCATTGATGCCCCTCCTGTTGATATTCTGGACATCAGCAACACCAACTTCCCACCAACTGGTGCGCTGTGCACGCGGTGGGGCCGTCGCATCCTCTTCGCACGCAACTTGGTCAGAGACATCGATACACGACAGGCTGTCACAACTGTACGCAACTGCCTTCGGCAAGTGGACGTGTTGGATCTCTCTGGCAACACGTGGCTAAGTCAGCTGCCAGAGATCAATCGTGCGACAGAGAGAATTATTGTCTTGTCAGACGAAAAACACTTGTCCGCGGATTTCTTCTTCCTTCCAAACCGCCCCACCCCTCCCATCCTTCAGTTGACCGATGCGCCGATTGAATGTGCGCTTCAGCTGTTCAATCAGGATTTGCGACCAGTGCGTGACAACTTCACATTGACCCCTCAGATTATGTTCTCCTTCCACTGCACGTGTGCGCGCGGTTTCAAGATGACGTCAGGTGGGCGGTGTGTGTTAGACGAGCCAGATATCGCCGGCATTGCCGCTGCCTCCGTGATTGGCGGCCTTGGCATTGGCCTGCTCATGGCGTGGCTGTCACGCCGCTACCGGGGCCTCACCAAGCGCATTGGTCTGCAGGAGCAGCTGCTGGTGGAGCGAGACGAGGAGGTGATGGCGCTGAAGAAGGCGTGGGAGATTGAGTACAATGAGCTGAGGATGATCAAGCGAGTGGCTGCGGGTGCCTTTGGCGTGGTGTTCAAGGCAGAGTGGGACACGGTGATGGTGGCAGTCAAAGTGCTGCAGCAAGGGGTGATGATGTTCGACGAGAGCACGGTGCTTGAGTTTGAAAAGGAGGTGGAGTTTTTGCAGCGCACACGCCACCCCAACGTGGTGCGGTTCTTTGGCGCGGGCACCGACCCCAACGGCAGCCCGTTCCTGGTGCTGGAGTTTGTGGCCATGGGATCACTCAAAGATCTGTTGGGCAAGGACATGGAACAGGTGTTGATGGAAGTGAGGAGCAGGAAGGTCGAGGAGAGCAGCAACGGCAGTGTCAGGGATGATGTGAACAGTGTGTTGGATTTGAAGCTGCGGCTGCTTCGCGACGTCGCCAGTGGGATGGCTTTTATCCACAGCCTCGACCAGATGCACCGGTAAGTGGGATATTTGTGTGTGTGTGTGTGTGTGTGTGTGTGTGTGTGTGCGTGCGTGCGTGCGTGTGTGTGTGTGTGTGCAGCCACGTGCTTCTTGTTCACTGCTCACCGCATCGTCCTACCCTCGCCCCAACTACACCAACACCACCCAAACAGAGACCTGAAGAGCGGCAACGTGCTTGTTTCATCATCGCTTCGTGCCAAGATTACGGATTTTGGATCCATCCGCCAGTGCTTCACACGTGACAGAAACCACCAGCAGCGCACTCGTCTGTCATCCAGCCAAGATGTTTTTGATGATCCCCAGTACAGCCAGCAGGCTGGCTTGCAGACCATGACGAATATGACGCTGACGGCTGGCGTGGGCACGCCGCTGTACATGGCGCCAGAGGCATTGACGGGCGACAAGTACAGCTTTGAGGCGGACATCTTCAGCTTTGGCGTGCTGATGTGGGAGGTGGCGACACAGCGTGTGCCGGATCTGATCAAACAGGAATGCGGCGAGGGGTTCAGCGGTCCCATCTTGGCCACCCTTCGAACGTTGATGGCAGATGGGAAGCGGCTCAAGTTTGAAGACAGCGAGAGTGAGTTTTGTGTGTAGGTGTTTGTTTGAGCTGCTTTCTTGCGCGCGTATCTCTCCTCACACACACACATCCTCACACACACCCTCCTCCACAGGTATCCCCGAGTGGTTCCAGTCGCTGGCGTACAAGTGCATGGCGCAGAACCCGCGTGAGCGCCCGTCGTTTGGAGAATTAAAGGACCACCACTTTGCTTGAATGTGTTGGGGTTGACATGAACTACATACATGTGCTGTCGTAACCTGCACTGTCCTGGAGCTAGTACCAGCCAGCCAGCCAGGTATTTGGGTTTCCCACTTCTTTGTCGAGTCAGCTGTTGGCAACCACGCGGCAGGCGCTGACGACACTCCACTGGCGCCACCTGTCCACACACCTTTAGAGCTTTCTTCTCCTCCTCTCCTCTCTGTTGAGGAATCTTTCCTGCTACCAATGAACACGAGCGACAACAAAGCCTCGCCTATCACGCCAACAGTCTGTGTGCATGCCCCTATGCTCCATCTATGCTCCCTGACCGCTTACACTCTCACTCTCACCCACACGCCCACTTGCGCACGCATTCGTCCATGCATGCGATTCCATGCATGCTGTTGCCTCTGAGCGCTGGGAATGGTGTAAGATTTCAACGAGTTTTCCCCAATCAAAACAAGACACACACGCACGCACGCACACACACACACACACACACACACACACACACACACACACACACACACACACACACACACACACACACGCACACACACACACACACACACACACACACACACACACACACACACACACACACACACACACACACACACACACACACACACACACACACACACACACACACACACACACACACACACACACACACACACACAACAAACACCGCCTGCGACAATGTCCACGCCAAAGCCAACAACTGCAGCCACCACAACCACCACAACAGCAGCAGCGCCCATCTGCACGGATGGGGTGAGCACCTCTGCCATCAAGCGGTTCATGTCGCAGATCAAGGATTATCACCCCAACAACTATGAGGAGGTGACCACATACGATGCGTGCCTTAAGCCTGTGCTCCACCGCACGAAGGAATGGAAGTGTTCGTACATCGACCTGCTGCGCAGAACCAAACCAGAGGAAGTGGGACCAGCCACTGTGTTCGTGTCGCACGCATGGCAGTACAAGATCTCCGACGTCCTCACCACCATGCTGGAGTACGCCGAGGAGGAGGAGGAGAAAAAGCGCAAGGATGAAGATGGAACCAAGAAGGAGACGTTCTTCTGGTTTGACCTCTTCTGCAACAACCAGCACAAAGAATCGCGCATGGGCCTGTCGCCAGAACAGTGAGTTGCGTGTGTTTGTTTGTTTGTTTGTTTGTTTGTGTGTGTGTGTGTGTGTCTGTGCGTGTGTGGGTCTGTGCGTGTGCGTACAGTGCTTCACCAGACGTGTGCATTTCATCTTGCCACCTTAACGCACTCACACACACACACACGCACACACACACACACACACACGCACACACGCACACACATACGTGTCATGGCAGGATTGGCGCCCCGTTCAAGAACGCCATTGCATCCATTGGCAAGGTGCTGCTTGTGCTGACGCCATGGAACAACCCCGTCCCACTGACACGCGCGTGGTGCTTGTGGGAGATCTTCTGCGCCATCAGCCAGAGCAGTGATGACGTCGGATTGGAGATCAGACTGCCGCAACACCAGCGCACGAAGCTGAGGGAAGCTGTTGTTGATAGCTTTGACGCCGTCACCAACATGCTGGTTGAGGTGCAAGCGGAGAAGGCAGGCGCAAGTGTCCCAGCAGACAAGGAGATGATCTTCCGGGCGATTGAGGACACTGTGGGCTTCGCTGGAGTGAACAAGGCGGTGAAAGGACAGATGCGCGCCTGGTGTTTGACGATGGCAAGGTCATTCGTGAAGGAGCTGGAAGACTTGGGTGACCACAACGGAGAGCAGTACTCGTTGCTGTGCAGTCGAGTTGGAGCAGTCATGCTCAGTTTTGGCGAACATGATGCTGCCATGAGGTTTCACAAGAAGAGCCTGAAGGCTTTGCGCGACCAGTTTGGGGAAACACATCCATTCACAGCAACTGCGTACCACCACATTGGCAACGTGCACGACAAGAAGGGTGAGTACGATCGTGCCATCGAGAACTTTGAGAAAGCACTCAAGGTCCAGTGTGACACCCTTGGTGAGAACCACTCCTACACGGCAGCCATCTATCACAGCTTGGGGCTGACGTATCATAACAGGGGAGAGTACGATCGCGCGCTCCACTTTTACAAGAAGGACCTCCATATTACACTCAGCGCACATGGCGAGAACCATCCTTCCACGGCGACTGTGTATCACAATTTGGGCCAGGTGGTCCACAAACAAGGAAAGTACAATGAAGCGACTGAGTTCTACAAGAACAGCTTGCAGATCAAGCTGGACACGCTGGGCGAGACGCACCCATCCACAGCAACTACGTACCACAACCTCGGCCAAGTGTTTCAGAGCAAGGGCGAGCAACAACGCGCAATCGACCATTACACCAAGGCCTTGAAGGTCATGCGTGAGACCTTGGGCGAGGGACACCCCACCACCGCAACCGTGCTCAGCAACTTGGGCGACGTGCACAGCAGCAGTGGTGAGCTTGACCGAGCGGTTGCATACTTCAAGAAGGCGTTGCAGATTAACATGGACACGCTTGGCAAGAAGCATCCTTCATACGCAGCCACGTCCCACAACTTGGGGCGAGCGTACGACAAACAGGGCAGGCATGATTGTGCGATCGAGCTCTACGCGCAAAGCCTGCAGGCAATGGTGGACACGCTGGGAGAGAACCATCCGTCCACCGCAACCGTGTGCCTCAGCCTTGGCGATGCGTACACGAGGAAAGCAGCGTATGACCGTGCAATGCATTATTACAAGCGGGGTTTGACCATCTTCCTGGACACATGCGGAGAGAAGCATCCTTCCACCGCTCTAGCGCACGATCACGTGGGCAATTTGTATGTCAGCAAAGGCGAGCATGCGCGTGCCATTGAGCACTTCAAGAAGGCGCTGCACATCAACATCGATACGCGTGGTGAGCAGCATGCCTTCACCTCGGCCACTTATTACAGCTTGGGCAGTGCGTATTACGAGACGCACCAGTATGATCTTGCAGTTGAACACCTCAATCAGGCCCTTCTTGCCGGGAAGCACGAATCCACACCCGCCATTTTCCGCCAGCTGGGCAACGCGTATTACAAGAAGGGCGAATACGACCGAGCGATCGACCACTTCAACAAGGCACTGCGGATCAAGTTGGACACTGTTGGCGAGATGCACGCCTCCACTGCCGCCATCCTCCACGACCTGGGGGACATGTACATCAGCAAGGGCGAGTGTGACCGCGCCATTAACTACTTTGAGAGGGCTCTCGACATCAAGGTGCAAACCCTTGGTGAGAAGCACAAGTCCACAGCGACTACATACAACAGCTTGGGCAGCGTGTATGAACGCAAGGGCGAGTACGATCGCGCTATCCACTGCTACACCAAAGACCTCGAGATCGCGCTCAACACGCTCGGTGACAAGCATCCGTCCACGGCAACGGCATATCACAATTTGGGCGATGTGTACGAGAGCAAGGGCGAGTACAAGTTGGCCATGGAAAACTACGAGCGGAGCATTCAAATCAAAGTGGCCACGCTGGGCGAGAAGCACGCGTCTCTAGCAAGGACGCTGAACAACCTTGGCAGTGTGTATCACGCCCAAGGCGAATGCGCTCGCGCGCTGGAGTGCTTCGAAAAGGCGCTGCATATCAAAGTTGACACACTTGGCGAGAAGCATCCTTCCACAGGAATCACGCACGGGTACTTGGGGAGCGTGCATAGTGAAATGGGCAGTTATGAAGGTGCAATCGAGCACTTCCAGAACGCACTGCAGATCCAGGTGAACACGCTGGGAGAGAAACACACGGACACGGCAACCACATATCACTACTTGGGCACCGCGTATGCTGACAAAGGCGAGCATGACCGTGCCATCGAATGCTTCAGGAAGGCGCTGCAAATCAACATGGACGCGCTCGGACCTGACCACCTGTCCATCGCGTTCACCTCAAACAGCATCGGCAAGACCTTCGCCAACCTGTATGATTTCGGCAATGCAATTCCGCACATCAGCCGGGCCGTTGACATCTTTCACGCGAGGCTTGGACCCCGTCATCCAGAAACAATGCAGGCGGTCAAATGCCTCGAGAATGTGCGACAAGCCGCGCGTTCAAGTTCAAAAGTGTCACTGCACCAATCCACACTGTGATTGTGTGTGTGGGGGGGAGGGTGTGTGTGTGTGTGTGTGTGTGTGTGTGTGTGTGTGTGTGTGTGTGTGTGTGTGTGTGTGGGTGGGTGTGTGGGTGGGTGTGTTGGTTGCTTGGTTTTGTGTTCTTTGCGCGCGTGCTTGTTCTGCTGGACGCATACTTTGTTTTGCTTGCCGTGTTTGGCTGGTTGCTTTCCTTGCCGTTCGTTGAGTTACCTTACTTGTTTGCTCCAACGATGCTTGTTATGTTGAACCACAGCACTGTGTCTGTGTTCGCATGTTGGTTTCGGTTATGTTACACTCACATGAACCATGACAGTTGCGGTTCATGGACTGCGAGGTGCTGTGAACACACGCGCTTGCTGTCACACATTTACGCTCGCACAGAGAGACACGGAGAGAGACAAAGACAGAGAGAGAGACAGAGAGAGACAGAGAGAGACAGAGAGAGAGAGAGAGACAGACACACACACACACGTTCATCTTCTGTCACAACTGCCTGCCTCCTTGTCATGTGTTCATTTCAACCCTTCTTTTGCACTTCGTGATGAAGCCGTGGTGGGGGTACAACACAGCAAGACACCGACATCGTGTGCCGTGTGTGCTCTGTTCTTGTTGATCCAGTGATGAGCTGATGAAGGAAGGTTGAGGGAGGGAAGGAAGGCTGAGGGATGGATGGAAGGCTGTCTCAAGGATGGATGCGTTTCAACGTGCTTCCTTTCCACAACAAACACACACACACACACACAACAGTGAACTTGCTTGCTTGTGTGGCTGGAAATCCAATGCACGATTCCCAACAATCGTCCACAACCACCACCAGCCAAAACGCCACAAACAACCACTGATCCAATCCTGTCTTCTCTTCTCTTGGTGCTGCGCCTGCCCTGCAAACAGACACACGAACGAGGAAGGAGGGAGGCACAGTTAACTTCTACTTCTGTTCTTTCCTTCTTCTCCTCCTCTTCCACTCTTCTTGTGCGATGAGAATGGTGGGGTGCCTGCAGGCACGTGGGGTTCTGCTGCTCCCCGTGCTGCTGGTGGCGGCGGCAGTGTGCTGGATGCCGTTTGACAGCAGCGTTGCTGGAGAGGTGACGCTGGAGGAGGACGATGCGGGCGCGTTTCACATCAACACGAGCGATCCCATGAGCCAGCCGGTGTTTCTGAACGGCCTGAATGTGCACGATACCCTCAGCATGTTGATGAGCACCGTGTCGGCGCAGCAGAGCCTCAACGCTGCGCAGGAGGGCGTGATCGATGCACAACGGAGTGCGATTTCGGCTCAGCAGAGGGCGATTGACCGTGTCCGTGGCGAAGTGTGCACCCCAAGTGCCACGACGATTGGACAACTGAGCTCAACCACCAACAAGTGGCTTGGCGGTGTGTTGGCAAACAATGGTTTCATCTATGCCGCACCGTACTACGCATCCTCTGTGCTCATCATCGACCCCAGCACCAACACCATCGATACGACTACCATCTCCGACCTTGGAACTGACTCGGGAAAATGGGCGGGTGGTGTGCGGGCTGACAACGGCCTCATTTACATGTTCTCTTCACGAAGGGAAACGATGCTTATCATTGACCCAAGTACCAACACCGTGGACACATCAAGCATCCACTCGCTTGGCTCCGGTGAAAAAAAATGGTTTAGCGGGGTTGTGGCCAGCAACGGCCTCATCTTTGGCATCCCATACTTTGCAACCTTCGTGCTGATCATTGATCCCGAGACCAACACAGCTGACACCACCACGCTGTCCGGACTAATGAGCCAGAGGTACAAGTGGTTTGAGGGGGTGCAAGCAGACAATGGTTTAATTTACTGCATTCCCGTCTCAGCTTCCTCCGTTCTAATCATTAACCCAGACACCTTGGCGATGGACCTCACAACCATTAGTGGTCTGGGAACACACGTTAAGTGGCGTGGCGGGGTGCTTGCACACAATGGCCTCATCTACACCATTCCCACTTACTCTGCGACGACACTGGTTATCAACACCTCCACCAACGTCACTGACGTGCTTGTTGTTGTAGATGCGATGAGCTCTTCGAAGTGGATTGGCGGTGTGCTCGCACCCAACGGCAACGTCATCGGTATCCCATACAGGTCCTCATCAGTCCTCATCTTCGACCCAAGCAATAACACCACCGACACTACGACTGTTAACGACCTTGGGGGCGACAACAAATGGTGGGATGGCGTGCTCGCCCAAAACGGCCTCATCTATGGCATCCCACGCGATGCTGAATCTGTCCTCGTCATCGACCCAGGGTGCTGATGCGTACTTTGTGCGCACATATTGTGTGCAAATGGGAGTGTGTGCGCACGATTTTGTGCATGTGCGCGTGTCTCCCTGCCACTCTTCTCTTTGTGATTCACCACCTCCTCTCCAAGCACACACCTGCCGTTACTTTTCACCTCCTGTGTTTGTTTATTGGTTTTGTGTCGTTCCTTCCACACCAATGAGACACCGAACATTCCACGGGCACCATGAACAGCAACAAGGCATGCGCCATCCAGTCTCTCCGATCCCCCCCCACACACACACACGCACGCACGACCTAACTGCAAGACAAAAATGCAAGCGACACAGTGAGCAGAGCAGCAAGCAAACACATTGCATCACATTCCACGTGCATAACACACGCACGTCCCAACACGGGAGCAATTGTGCCCCCTTTTGCTCCCCTGCTACTTCCTGCTCATCTGCTTGTCCATGGCGCCATCACGCGTCTTCACATCATCATCATCATCACCGCCATCATCGCCATCAGCGCCGCCCACGTGGCCGACGTCAACAGCGGTGTCGCTGGCGTCCTGCACGTCTTCATCGCCGGTGAGCTGGTCCTGTTTCTCCACGAGATCGACAATCGCTTGCAGGTGATCCGGGTGCACGTCCACACCCTCGTACGCAATCAGATTCAGCACCTGCGAGATGTTGGGGGGGGGGGGAGGGGATGTTGTGTGTGCGTGTGTGTGTGTGTGTGTGTGTGTGTGTGTGTGTGTGTGTGTGTGTGTGTGTGTGTGTGTGTG